TTGCCAAGTGCCACCTCATCTCTCCAGCCTGGGGTCTTCCTGAAGGTGACTCCAGGTCTGCCGGCCTGTGCACCAGGGCCCAGAGAACAGACCAGCCCAGTGGCTAAGGTCCAGAGAGGGTAAAGCTTACAAAGCAAAGGCAGGACTGGGCAGAACCCAGGTCTCCTCAGGGCTGCCGTCTAGTCCTGTCTTCAGACCTAGTTCAAGTGCCTCCCTCCCCCACCCCAGGAAGCCTTCCCAGCCCCCAGCCTTAAGGAATGGCTCCCAGTGTGCCCCAGCCCCATGTAACCATGAAAGCAACAAGATACTGTCTTCGAGCCATTGAGGTCTTCTCCTGCCATTGTGTCCTGGAGGTGAGCCCTTACCCCAAAGCACAGCCACACTACAGCACCCCCTGTCAAGCGGAGTGCAGAAAGTCCGCCTACGCCTTGACACAACCAACTGTTAGAAGTGGTACTCTATGCAGGAGAGCATTTCCAGGGTAGCAAGGGTTAAGCCCAGAACCCAGGCTGGTGTCCTGGGTCTGCCCGTTCTCAGGACCAAAGCCCAGGCTAGCCCCCTTGACCAGAGCTGAGCAAGTGACCTCTTTGCCCCAGCCCCTCACAAGCCGGGTCCCCTCTCCCCAGGCTCACTCCAGCAAGGTGAGGGCTCAGACCCATGAGCCCAGGGCTGGGAACACAGCATGTGGAAGGCCAGAGAAGAGCTCCCACCTCCCAGCCTATGCCCCCAAAGCCCACCCTGTCCCCTGGTTCCAAGCTGTTGCCATCAGCTCAGCTCCACCCCCAGCAACCTCCTGTCTAACAGAACGGAACACTGTCCAGTCCCGCACTGGCTTCACGACCAGTGGTGTGTTGGAGACCAAGGCTGTGGCGATTGTGTAGTGCCTTCCAGTCTGGGGTCTCACCTTCTAGCACTGTATCAGACAATATTCTGCTACGATCTGTAGGGGTTTTATTGGCTAGTTTTGGGAACAAAACAAAAAACCATCCCAACTGGTCCAATAAACAGCTTCATGATAAATGGAGAAAAGATTGAAGTTGTCAAGTATTTCATATTACTTGCTTCTACAATCAACATCAATGGAAGTGGCAGTCAAGACATCAGATGACGTATTGCATTGGGCAAATCTGCTGCAAAAGACCTCTTTCAAGTGCTGAAGAGCAAAGAAGTCTCCTTGAGGACTAAGGTGTGCCTAACCCAAGCCATGGCATTTTCAATCACCTCTTACACATATGAGAGCTGACAATGAATAAGGAAGACCAAAGAAGAGTTGATGCTTTTGAGTCGTGGTGTTGGAGAAGAATGCTAAGAGTACCATGGACTGCTGAAAGAACTAATGAATCTGTCTTGGACAAAGTGCAGCCGGAATGCTCCTTGGAAGCAAGAATGGCCAGACCTCGTCTCACCTACTTTGGTCAGGTTGTCAGAAGAGATCATTGCCTGGAGAAGGATATCATGCTTGGTAAGTGGAGAGTCATTGTGAAAGGGGAAGGCCCTCAATGAGATGGACTGACACAGTGGCTGCAACGATGGGCTCAGGTACAGCCAAGATGTGGAGCTGGCACAGGACTGGGCAGTGTTTCGTCCTCTGCTGTGCACAAGGTCATTATGAGTCAGAGCCAACTCGACGGCACCTAACAACAACAACAACAACAACCGTTTTTGGAAGTAGATCACCAGGCCTTTCCTCCCAGTCTGTCGTAGTCTGGAAGCCCCCCGAAGCCTGCCCACCATGGATGAAGCTGGTTTTTTAAATACTGGTGGCACAGTTTTCAGAATCCCAGCACCACAAAAGCCACCAGGGGGTGGTGGCTCAGAGCTCCGATGTGTGAAATAGGGGAGACGGAGCTGGCGTGAATGGCTTCCGTGCAGCCATCAGAAGGAATGGGCTGATCTACGCACAGTGACTTGGAAACAGGTGGGTGGCATATTGTTAAATGCCAAAGAACAATTCACCTAATGTGTAATCTGATCAGATTTTCATCAGCACAATCTATGCAAGTGTATGTGTGTTCACGTGCAGGTCTGCACATATGCAAAACATTGGGTCTTGAAAGATCACAGCTCACAGTTTAGAACGAAAGAAGTGGGAAGGGTTTTTTTTTTTTTTTTAACTATAATACCTCTGTATTTTTTATTTTTAAAAAATTTAGTAGAACCACTGTCAAACCACGGGAAGGGATCAGTGCAGGAGATCCTGGATAGAGTGGAAGAATGATGTGGAACAAAACTCAAAATCATTAAAAAAAAAAAAGACCAAGTTTGCTGGTCTGAGAGAGCCTGGTAAGAACCCTGAAACTGTAGCCCCAGTTACCCTTCAGGCCTGGAATTGAACTCACTCCCATGGGTCCCAGCCAAACAATAGACAGGCATATAAGCTGAACATTTACATTAGGTAGATACACTCCTTAGAGCGCTCAATCATGGGAGAACAGAAGGGCAGTGTTTGCACAGGGAGACAGCTCAGGGGGCAGGAGTGCACAGGAAAGAAGGACACAGGGAAGAGGTAACTACAGGGAGGAAGTGGGAAGAGAGCTGTTACGTTGTGGGGAATTGCAGTCAATGCCATGAAACAAAATGTGTATGAACTGTTGCATGGAAAATGAATCTGCTCTGTATTATTTTCACCCAAATCACAATAAAAAAATTAAAAAAAAATAAAAGTATTTCATAGAAGAAAAAGACAAAGAGCTGTGTCAAGCACAGTGTCACCCTCTGCCCAGAGCTGGTGAGAGCTTCCGCAGGCGCCAGCCGCCTCCAGGCCATCCCTTCGCTCCACAGTGGCTCAATCCTCTCTCCCATCCCTCTGTCCAGGCACTTCCCACCACCCTTCCTCCACTGCTTGTCCTTTGCAACCTCCCCACCTGCCCCCTTCCTCATCCCCCCCTCCACTCCAGAAGCCCAGGTTGCACCCCTGTCCAGCAAGCAGCCAAGCCCCAGTTACATTCCCCCAGGCCCCACCCCAGTGGCCGGCTGCCTTCACTCACTTCGGCCCTTGCAGAAGAACCATGCAGGGTTCCCTGCAAGTTGTGTGCATGTGCTGGGGTCTGAATTGCTGGCTGTGCTTGCCCTTTGCCAGGGGCTGGTAGCTCCCTCTTCAGCACGCTCTGCCTCCTCAAACAGACCAGACCAGACAGGAGCTCTTCAGATGTCTCCCCAGGGAGGCGGGGCCTGGCCCTCAGCCTGAAGGTAAGGACCTGGAAGTTCTCCCCAAATCCACAGTGGGCTGTGTGCAGACCCATCTGGGCAGATAGCAATCTAGCCCCAACTTCCCTGAGAACCAGATGGAGAAGAGGAAAGTGAGTGGAGCTCCCTGGACCCTCTCCCCACACTCACATCACCCTCTGGCTTGGAACTGGGTGTGTGTGGGGGAGGGATGGCTAACTCCCCTCCTCTCATCAGAAGCCCTCACCTGAGGGCTGTGTCTGGAGGACCTGACCCACTGGACCTGGGCTTGCAAAGCTACATCAGCTCTTGCCTCCATAGGCCCCTGAGCAGGGGTGAAGGGATGGTGACTGCTGAGGTATTGGAACAGTTTCCCCATCCCTGGAAGAGATGGATGGAAGGACAGATGATAGATGGATTGATGGACGAGTAGATGGGTGGATACCAAACCAAAACCCAATGCATCGAGTCAGCTCCAACTCATAGTGACCCCATTGGGTTTCCAAGGTGGTAAATCTTTATGAAAGTAGATTGCCCAGTCTTCCTTCCATGGAGTGGCTGGTGGGTTTGGACCACCAACCTTCTGGTTAGCAGTCAAATGTCTTAGGCATTGCACCACCAGAGCTCCTCAGATGGGTGGATAGATGTATGAATTGGCAGATGGATGGGTGGAGAGGTTGATGGTTGGATGGATAGATGGGTGGAGGAGTGGACGAGTAGACAGGATGAAGGGTGGATGGATGGATGGATGGATGGGTGCATGAGTAGATGGATGGATGGATGGGTGGGTAGGTGGATGGATGGGTTGGTGAGTGGATGGGTGGGTGAGCAGGTGGGTGGATGGATGGATGGATGGGTGCATGAGTGGATGGATGGATGGATGGGCGGGTGGGTGGATGGATGGGTTTGTCAGTGGATGGATGGGTGGGCAGGTGGGTAGATGGATGGATAGGTGGGTGGGTGAGTAGATGAATGGATGGGTGGGTGGATGAATGGATGGATGGATGGTTGGGTGGATGGGTGGGTGGGTGGATGGGTGGATGGATGTGTGGATGGATGGGTGGGTGAATGGATGAGTGGGTGGGCATGTGGATGGATGGATGGGTCAGTGGGTGGATGAGTGGGTGGGTGGGTGGGTGGGTGAGTGTATATGTATGTATGGATGGATGGGTGGGTGGGTGAATAGATGGGTAGTGGGTGGGTGGATGGACAGATGGGTGGTTGGGTGAGTGGATGGGTGGATGGATAGATGGGTGGGTGGATAGGTGGATGGACTGATGGGTGAGTGAGTGGATGTGTGGGGAGGTGAGTGGCTAATGTGAGAAGGAATGGATGGACCAGTCGCAGACTGACTCAAGAGTAACTACTTCTAAAAGGAATTTTCCAAGTCTTTAAAACGTGAGACCCTGGCACCCCCCAGAGGACAGAGTCTGCCCCACACTCCCAAAACCCTAGGCACCAAAATTCCTGAGAACCAGTGATCTGGATCTAGAAAAAGTCACTGGTTCTGCGAAACAAAAACTTTAGGGTCTGCCCCTCGAGTTGGCTCTGCCCCTAACTTAGCAATCTTGAGGAAGCCACAGCCTTTTAAGACTCAACTTTCTCATCCAGTGGAGCTAATCAAGCTTGACGCCTGGGTGGCTGCGACAGTTAAACAAAGTATGTGTGTCGAGTGTCTGAGATGGCATCTGGCACACAGCGGGTGCTCCCGGAATGTGCGTTCCTTCCCAGGGCCAAGCAGCCCTAGGATAGACACACACACACAAAACATGCCTCCGGCCTAGCAGGGGAGAGGGAGAGGAAGACCCAAGGCCAGGAGAGGCAGACAGACACATTTATTCTCCAGCAGTTTCAGGCTCTGGCAAGGCTGGTCCAGCCTTGGGGGTCAGGGACTCAAGAAGTGGGGACTCCAGCAAGGGCCATGAGGCCTCCTGGGGTTCAGCCTCCTGGGCCAACTGGACTGTGTGCTCGAAGGCAGCCTGCAGTAAGTGGGAGGCGAGGCAGGTGGTCCAGGTGACCAGGTAGGCCAGGTGCCAGTAGGTGAGCGTCACCGTGTTCTCCATCCACTGGTACAGACGCTTCAGCAGTGACAGGAGCTCCGGCACCAGGCGGCTCTCCAGCAGGCCCTGCAGCAGGCAGGTGGACAGGCAGGTGCTAGCCCCCTGGCCCCACCCTGCCCTCGGGCAACCCCGACCCGTTCCTCAGCCCACCCACCTTGCTGGGCAGCTGGCCCAGGCTGACGCGGTGGGCCGTCCGGCACAGCCTCCAGGCCAGCAGCAGCAGCAGCAAGGCCGCCAGCATCAGGCTGTGCAAACAGGACAGAAGCAGGTCCGTCCAGGTGGCCGCAGAGTGACCCAGCTGCCCCTGGGCGTGCAGACATCGTGGGGACAGACCCAAGGCCCGGGCCCAGCCCAGCACGCTGCCCCACACCAGCCTGGGCACGCACAGTGCCAGCCACACGGGGATCTCTATCAGCGCCAGCCCAGCACGTGCAGCCCAGCCCACTGGGCTGGCTGAGCCCCCCGGGGCTGCGTGGGCCTGCCTGCCGCCGGAGCCCCAGGCCTCCTGCGCCAGCTCTGACACCCAGTGGTTGAACAGGCCGATCCTCAGGAGCAGGAAATTATAGAGGTGGACCCGGTTCTGGACCAGCTGCAGGAAGAAGGAAAGGTGGTCATCCCCCACTGCTATCCACCTGGGCCAGGAACCCGACCTTAGGCCAGGCTCTTCTCCTCTCCAGGCCTCAGTTTCCCCCTACACGAGGATGATCTCTGTCTACTTCCAAGGCCTCCATTCTCAGGGAGCTTTAGAAGACGTTTTGTTTTATATTATATCTAGTTTTGTTTCCAGGGGCTCTGGTAGCATAGTGCCTAAGGCACTTGACCACTCACCAGAAGGCTGGAGGTTCAAAACCATCAGCCACTCCTCGGAAGGAAGGTTGGGCAATCCTACTTCCGTAGTGATACTGCCTCGGAAACCCAAGGAGGGGTCGCTATGAGTCGGGGCCGACTCGATGGCAAACAACAACAACAACAACAAGTTTTGTTTCCATTGAATTTAAATACTTAGATATATTCTCCAAGGAGCTCTGGAGGCACAGTGGGTAAAGCATTTGGCTGCTAACCAGAAGGTCACTGGTTCAAACCCACCAGCGGATCTGCAGGAGGAAGATGAGACTATCTATTTCCATACAGATTTACACCTTGGAAACCCTATGAGGGTTGCTGTGAGTCAGAATCATCTCAATGGCAGTGGATTTTATATGTTCTCCAAGGAGCTCTGGTGGTGTAGTGGTTAAGGCATTTGGCTGCTAACCGGAAGGTTGGTGGTTCAAACCCACCAGTGCTCTACAAAAGGAAGATGAGGCAGTCTGTTTCTGTAAAGATTTACAGCCTTGGAAACCCAGTGGGGGTCGTTGTGACTTGGAATTGACTCGACAGCAGTGAGTTTTATATGTGTTCTCCAGACTAAAGCAGTGTGCTTCATTAGTATTAGTATTAGTACTGTTGTTGTTGTTGTTGTTGTTGTTGTTGTCACGTGCCATTGAGTGGGACCCGACTCATAGCAACCCCTCCTTGGGTTTCTGAGGCAGTATCACTACGGAAGTAGATTGCCCCATCTTCCTTCTGAGGAGTGGCCGGTGGGTTTGAACCGCCAGCCTTGGACACTATGCTACCAAAGCTCCTAGTATTAGTATTAGTATTAGCATTAGTATTAGTATTATTTAAGGAGTGACACCCCTCACTCCTCTACACTTGCAGGATTTGAACCCAGGACAGCTGTTTTCTTGAATCTGGGCTGCTCTCACACCTGTAGCCTCTTGGTGTCATGAAAGTACCTGAGGAAGGTGGCAGTGCCATTAGGGGTAAAAAGACGTGAGAGGAACCATGGGGGACACAGAATCAATGATTGACCTGCTGAGGGGGTGAAGGCGCCCAGAAAAGCCTTCCAGACGTCCGCCCTGGGTGACAAACGTCTCTCATTGGCTGAGAGAAAGTACACAAGAGCAGGGTTGGGTGAGGGAAGGAGTTTGACGCGAGCCCTGGAGCTGAGAGACCCCCCACCAGAGCCCTACAGCCTCCAGCCCTAGAGTGACTTCAAGCCACCTGTCCTGCGCCCTCAGGGACAGCAGGTCAAGTCCTGTAGAGTTTGGATCCTGGAGCCTCTAAGGGAGAGGGTGGGAGGGGGCCATCTGAGGCAGCTGTGGGCCCCACCCACAGTTAGCAGAGGTCGAGGTCTTGGGGCCATGCTGGACAAGAAAGGGGGCCGTGGGGTCCAGCTGGGAGAGGTATTAGGATGGGGACAGGCGGTGGAAGCCAGTCTCCCGGATCTTAATGCTGAAACCAGAAAGAAGACAGGTTTGCTGTGCCACACGATCCTACAAGATTGGTTTTAGAGGAGAGGAAATAGAGGCTCAGAGAGGTGAAGTAATTTGCGCAAAGTCACACAGCTAAAGAGTGGAAGAGTCGAGATCCAAATCCAATTGTGTCCATCTCTTGCTGCTGTACCATGTTACCACCTCCCCTTTCCCTGACACGGTGGCAGACCCAGGGACCCCTTTCTGACAGCTCAACCTGCTGAAGGGTGGTGATTCAGTTGTGTCAGCCCAACCACAAGCATTTGCATATTTTAAAAACACAGAGGGTAGGGCAACACTTACCACACAGGACTGCGCTTTGAATAGACAATCCAGGCACCATGGTTTGGGGTTGGGGCTTCCAGGTGCTGTCAGGTTATCCAGGGGGTAGATTACTCCACTCCTTGGACCAGGCAGGGCTTGGGTGCTGCGGCTCTGAGGTGGCTGCCCTCTCAGCCCTGGCCACTGGGCCCACCCTTGGCCCCCTTCAAACCAGCCCCCATCCCCACTCACCAGCACTGAGAGCCTCGCAACCTGCAGCAGAATCCCCGAGAGACTGGGTCTGGCCAGAGGGACGGCCTCCATGTCTGGCCCTGCTTCCCCTCTTCCAGCTGGGAGAGAGCAGGGTGACCTCACAGGTGCCGCAGGGTGGGGGCCGAGTTACCATGGGGACTCAGTTGCCACAGGAGATCCCTAATCCGCTTCCTGTTCCCTCACTGTTCCTTCCCAGACCTCACTCCAGGCCCAGCCACCTCGTGGCCTCTTTGGGCAAAGCTTCCTTCAGGTTAGGTTCCCCAGAATCAGACCCTGAAGAAGGGAGTCCAGTGTGAGTAGTTCATGTGAGAGAGCACGTCCCGAAGCATCAGCAGAGGAGTGAGACGGAGAGGTGGGCCAGGGAAGCAAGCTTGTAGTGTGTGTTCATGGGCGAGTTCTTTGGGCAAATGGGGCTTGATCTCATCGGGGATCACGAGGGGACAACGAGGAGCACACCTCACAGTTGCCCCTACTGAAGCACAAACCAAACCAAACTCACTCAGAGCGACCCCTCCTTGGGTTGCCAAGGCAGTATCACTACGGAAGTAGATTACCCCATCTTCCTTCCGGGGAGTGGCTGGTAAGTTTGAACCTCCATCCTTCTGGTTAGCAGTCAAGTGCCTTAGGTGCTACACCACCGGCGCTCCCAAACACTGGGTGTTTATCTTCCACTTCCTGTCCAGCACTGATGGAAGGGCGGTTTCTAGGGGCATGAACCCCTAAGCCCCTGGCCTGCCCAGCACAAGCTTGAGCTCGGAGACTCCAGCCGGGGAAAACCCAAGGGAGACAGGAATGGCAGCGGAAGCAGGCAGGCTGTGCAGAAACTGAGGCTGAGGGCAGGCGGGGGCGATGCATTTCCACAGCCTCCAAATCCCAAAGTTTCAAGGCCTGGGGAACAGAAACCTTGGTGCCCAGGGCTAAGTGACAAAACATCTGGAGGCAGACAGCCCCTCAGCTGCCCTTCTCCTGCCCAAGGGTTCATTAGTTCTTCCTGAATTTTGCTAGTCTGCTTCATGATAATATTGGGACATTTATTCTCCAAGCTCTTAGTCAGTGACAGTTTAGCGGGCTCTAAGGATAGGTTAAGGGGAAGGGGTGCTGCAGGAAAGGTCTCGGGGTGTCCAGGCGGGGCGCAGGTACTGAGGTGAAGGGGGCCATTTGCTGGGCAACCCCCCTCAGGGCCAACAGAGGCCGCCACAGTGCCACAGGCTGCCTTGGAGCAGCTCAGAGAGGGAAAGGGGGCGTGGATTAGGGTCAATGGCTTAGAATTCTGGGAGATTCCAGAGCCTTGATCATAGAGCGTGTCTGAGTTTCTCAGTGCGCTACAACAGAAATACAAGTGGGTGCCTTCAATGAACAGAAATGTATTTTCTCACAGAATTTATTTCGGCTAGAAGTCCAAATGGATAAGGCACTTGGGTGCTAACCAGGTGGTCGTTGGTTCAAACCCATCAGTCACTTCACGGGAGAGAGACCATCTACTTCCATAAAGATTTTCAGCCTCTGAAACCCAAAGGGAGACGCTATGACTCAGAACCGACTTGCTGTCAGTGAGTGTGGTTTGGTTTTTAGAGCCCTAAGCGAAGGTTCTCTCTGTCCACTCTGAAGGGAAATCCTTGTCTCAGTTTCTTGAGGGTTCTTCTTGGCACTCCTTAGAAGGCTCCACGGGCATCTCTCTCCCCCCATTCTGCTTGTTTGCTTCAGGGTCAATCTGCAACTTTTATTTCTCAAAAGTGATTCGGTTCAGGACACACCCTACACTGAAAATGGCCTCATTCACACAACAAAGAACGAGATTACCACCACAGGTGAAACCAAAAAACCAAACTCGCTGGCATCCAGTCCACCAACTTACAGTGACTGCCCATTGAGTTTCCAAAGCTGTGGGTCTTCACAGAAGCCAACTGCCTTATCTTCCTCCCACAGAGAGGCTGGTGGGTTCAAACCACCAACGTTTTGGTTAGCAGCCAAATTCTTAACCACCGTGCGAGCCGGACTCCTTTCATTTGCATAGCCTAATAATTGGTTCCTCATAGGAAAATCTAACCGGTCTCCTGAATGACAGGTGGGGATACTTACCACTATATACAGCTGAAAAGCAGAGACTACCAGAAAGACGCTTATCTGTGTTTTACTGACTATGCAAAGGCATTTAACTGTGGATCATAACAAGTTATGGTTAACATTGTGAAGAATGGGAATTCTAGAATGTTTAATTGTGCTCATGAGGAACCTGTTTAGAGACCAAGAACCAATTGTTCAAACAGAACAAGGGGACACTGCATGGTTTAAAATCAGAAAGGCGTGTGTCAGTGTTGTATCCTTTCACTGTATTTATGTAATCTGTATGCTGAGCAAATAATCCAAGAAACTGGACTATATGAAGAAGAATGTGATGTTAGGATTGGAGGAAGACTCTTTAACAACCTGCATTATGCAGATGGCACAACATTGCCAGATGAAATAAAGAAGACTTGAAGCACTTACTGATGAAGTATGATGGTAGTTATGTTTGTGTGTCAACTTGGCTGGGCCTGGTTGAGTGGCTGGGCAGCTGGTGGTAGTTATTCCCCGTGATGAGACTGGCAATCAACTCCATGGTGGCATCTACTACAAGCAGCTGAGTAGCTGCCTTTGGGATGTGGTCTGGTTCCTGTATATAAGGAGAAGCCTTGAGAATGGTCTCTAGTCTAAGGCACGCTTGGACCCTGCGTAGCCATGTCGTTGCTCAGCAGCCTGCTATGCTCTGCCGACCCTGGGACTTACAATGGACTTGAATTCATGGCCTTCCATGTGGTTTGGTAACATCAGGACTGCGCCTTTTGACTTGTCAACCTTGGGGCTTCTCAGCCTCAGCAGCCAGCAGCTGTCTGAGTGAAGAAATGCCTCTAGCTCCAGTGGGCTGGGGGCAGGAAGCAGAGCTGGACCCCAAGGTTGAGGGGCTTTCACCCAGCCCCTAGGGCTTAGCACTCTGAACTTGGACTTAAAGCCTCCAAATTGTAAGAATAAACTCCTGTTTGTTAAGGCCATCGTATTTGTGGTATATTCTTGTCAGAGCGGCACTAGGGAACCAGAACACTTGGTAAAGTACACAGTCAGTGAAAAAGAAGACCCCCCCATGAGATGGACTGGCACAGTGGCAGCAGTGATGGGCTCAAGTATGGCAGAGACTGTGAGGCTGGTTCAGGACCCGGCAGTGTTTTGTTCTGCTGTCCACAGGGTCGCTTTGAGTCAGCCCGAACTCCATGGCACCTACCAACAACAAGAGTAAAGGAACCAATCCCTGCCAAGTGTGTCCAATGGACCAATCACAGGGCAGGCTGCTGCCTAGGGCCAGCCACAAAGTTTCAAGTCATCAAGTTGTTTACAGTTTACCCAGAAAATGTCAGCCCTTTGAACAAAACTAATATACCCCCTGTGGCAGAAAACTAGTGCAAAGGTAATTCTTTCAAGCTGTTTTTCCAAAAAAACAAGACACAAGGCCACAGAAACGAAAGCATTTTGCCGCAGCTGCTAAACCAAAGGGTTAGAGATTTGCATTGACCCAGAGTGCCTCAGAAAAAAAAGCCCAGCAATCCACGTCCCCAAAATCAGCCATTGAAACCCGATCGAGTGTAGTTCTGCACGTGGCCATCCTAAACCAGCTCAACAGCAACTGGTTTTCAGAGCATAAAGTAGGAAGCGGGGAGCAGCAGGAGGTGGGGGGTAAGGGCCACGTGGGTCACAGAGGAGTCCATTAAAGGACAGGAGACATTGAAGACCTTAAGCGTCAAGGCAGTTAGGAACAACTGTGGACTGCAGGACAGTCCCTCCAGCTGCAAGGGGAGGCTACAGTGAGGTGGAGAAGGTGTCTAGGGAAGGGAGCTCAGATAGGCACCAATAGCAACATCTCCTCCAGACACGAACGAGGTGGTGGGACCCTGGACCGTGGCTGTGGCACTAGGAGTGGAGGAAAGTGGACAGACGTCAGGAGTGTGGAGAAGGTAACAATGACAGGATCTAGGCGGGCGGGAACTAGGAAAGATCTCACACTGTAGCCTACTTAACAAGCTAACAAGTCAGCCTGCCGTGGCTTTGTGGATGCTAAGACTCCCGGTCAGAGACCAAGGACAAGGCATTCCTCACGGCAATGGCAGTCAACTAGAGTGTGAGTGTTTTGCTTTGATTCCTTGAGCCCCCAATCCCACAGGGTGATGTAACAAGGGGCAGAGGCCACGTGTGCGTGCAGTGGGATGGTACAGAAGAGCCACATCTGCTGTAAGAGGCAGGAAGCATGTCTGCCCTTTCCTCCTGAGACGGGCACTATCTTTATTGGACTGGAGCATGCCTGCCCTTTGCTCCATGGGCTGACACTATCTCTGTATCTCAAGGTTGTCTGATATACCATCATTTGGAGATTGCCCAGAACAAAGGCCAGTCAGCAGGGCCCTCATTGGCAGGAACCTGAGCCCGTGAACTGTCTGCCAGCAGAGGACTGAGCAGGACGACTGGTCAAAAGGCTCCGTGAAGGGCGGATAATTGTGTTGCCCAGTAACATGGAGGTCGAAGAGGAAAAGAAGCAGTTTTAGGGAAGAGTTCAAGTCAGTCTTACTGACTCAAGCCTGGGGCTCAGGGCAGAGAGGGAGAGGCTGCTGGGAGTCAGAGGGTGGTAGCTGAACCAGGATTTGCAACTCACCTTCCCTCCTGTCTTTCCTGCCCCCTTTGGGGTAGCCCTCACCACTACCTGGCATTGCCCATACCCAGAATTCCACTGTCACTAGTGCTCATGAGTGGACGGTCCTTGAGCTCATATTGACCAAACTCCCTGGACCATGTGGTCAGGGCAGGACTAAGGTCACAGAGATCTCATTCTGCCCTGCCACTCCTCAAGGTGGCCCCTCAGAATACACCTCAACTCCATTAGAGCACGAAGCTCAGGTCCCAGGATCAGCCGCAGCCAGAGCCCGCATCTCGGTCCCCAAGCTAGATGTCAGCAAGTGTTCACAGGAGGGGTGGGACTCAGAGAGGCCCATGAAGCATGGACATCCTTTAACAAAGATCAGGGGCCTCCC